AATCCTCCGCCGTGATAATACACAACGAGAGGGAGTTTCTGAGACGAAACGCCGTCGTTTACGGCGGAAGAGGGAAGATAGAGACGGAGCCACGTTGACTTTGACTGGTTCACGGGAAGATCTTTTGAAACGGCGGGGTTTTCTGGGGTAGGATCAGGTGTAGCTGCGGCGCATGGGAAGTTGGTGAGGTCGCGAGTGATTGAACCATCTGGATTCTTTACGATGTTAAGAAAAGCGTAAGGATCAGAAATTGGCGTTGTTGCTTCGGCCATTTTTTCTGTTATTGATCTTTTTGGGGTAGAATCTGTAATGTGTATGTATTATTGACTCATTCGAATATGCTACTCTTTATATAATCCAAAAAACCAGTGAAGATAGTTATTTTTAAAGTAAGATTTGGCAGATTCACGCATCAGTTTAGTCAAAAACTTTGCATTAAATTATCACCAAAAACGAGAAATCTGGAATCTACTACTAGTCTACAAAGGTAGTCAAAACTAAGGCAAATGTATTTTTAACTAATGTGCATACTAATTTGATAACTATGAATTAGACTTTTGACGCAACTGGTATGAATGATAATATGTGATTAACGCAACGTAAGTGGAGTGAGAGAAAAGATAAACCGCACAATGACGCTACAAGTACAAGTAGAGAAAACGTAATGCTCTTCTTGGTTCATAGGCCGCTAACACGTCTCTGTCATAAATGATAATCTAGAAGTTGCTGTTGGCAAAAGCCAAAACTAATTTGAAGTTTGACAAATTATTTACCAGGAAAGACACAGAATGATAAACGACTACACATTGTATTAAACAGTCGACCAACTATAGCTAATCAATTTTAGTGTTGTTTTCCATCGTTATAGACTTGTAGACGACAGAAACCTGACGGTGGATTTGAAACCTACAAAACAATTACCATTAGTGACGAAGTAATAATTTAATCATCATCATCATCCAAATTACACAAAATTGATAAGAGGATACAAGAGAGCCTCCTTAAGTTTGTTCAAAGAAAGAAAAAAAAAACGGAAAACACACAGAAAACACCTATTATAGTGTAGAAATCATCAGCGCAAGAAGATAGTAATGAAATTATAAGAGGGAGTTTAGTTTCTTTTTTTATCAAAAGGAGAGAGAAGCTGGGTTCGAGTTTTCAATATCTCTGGCCTCTACCACCACCTCTTCCTCTGCCACCACCACCAAACCGATTTCCACCACCACCACCTCCAAACCGGTTTCCACCAGCATTGCGACCGTATCTTTTTTGTGGCAATGGTTCTCTCTCCTGAAGTTTAGGCATCTCCTTAACCACTTCCAAGCTCATACTTCCAGCACTCTTTTGTCCAGCTGCAAGGAACAAGGCTAGATCCGATTGCTTAACATCGAACACTGCTCCGCTTTTATCTGCTGTTAGAGATAACCCTTCTATCTGTTCCACCTTGTCATCTGGTAAAACTCTCCTTAGCAATCCATAAACATATCTGTTGCAGCAAATCATTTTAGCACTTGCTTTAGATGTTAACAAAGACTACAAAAGCAGAGTATAAGGAGAGAGAGGAACTTACGATGGCGAGTACATTGGTTTCCCTGCTTCAAGTTGTAGTGTCACATGGTTCTCCATTGATGTAAGAAGTGACCTTTTCTTTATCTCAGTGAAGCCCTGTATAGTTATCAAAACTCGTAAGTACTTGTTTTGATAGGAACAAAAAAAACAAATAATGTTTCAAGGGAAAATTTTCATGAGACTAACCGCAGTTTTTGCAAGAGCTTTTGCGAGGAGTACTTCAGCTGATAAACCAGAAGATTCTAATAATTCCTTGGCAGCTCCCAGGAATGCAGGAACCACACTGCATTTAACATATTCTTAGATAAATATATGACATTCCAAGTTATTTATTAAACTTAAAAGAAAGATTGAAATCGCAAGTGTAAGCATACCTGTCACAGACTTTTTTAATATTCTCAGCAGCTTCCATACCAACAGCTCTGGCAATATCATCAGGCTGAGGTGCAGAAATGTACTCAAATTTTATACCAGCTTCCTTTTCGATCCTTGATACACTCGACTTTCTCGACTCGTACAGCGTAACCGCAACTCCAGTGTTGCCTGCAACAAAAATAATATAGAGATTCAGCAAGCAAACGTTATGCTATCATTATGCAACTGCGGAAATTTATCAAAGAGCCGTAATGTCGGCTTTACCAGCTCTTCCTGTTCGGCCTGAACGATGAATATATGCTTCAACTTCGCGTGGAGGCTCACACTGTAACACATTTAAACAAGATGTGATGTTAGAACACCAACGAGGCATTAAACCAGAATGATTAAAGCTCATGGGTGTCGACTAACCTGGATAATTAACTGCACATCATTGATATCTAGACCACGAGCAGCAACATTTGTAGCCACCAATGTCGAAAACTTGCCATTCCTAAATCCAGCAAGAGTAACCTATAATAAAAGGACTCATAGTTAGCAAGCCGATACTGCTCTGTTTGAGAAATTCAACAAGATAAGAAGAAAGATAATATCCTCCCTACTTAACTTTGCCTATGCAAGAAAGCTTGAAATAAAACTTAATACATACCTCACGTTGTGCTTGAGGTATTTCACCATGCAAGGCTCTTGACCCAGCCAACAAACCAGAAAGCTCGGAAACTTCATTTTTCTTCTCAGCGAAAATAATGGTTTGGCCTCCACTAGATTGTGAAAACAAAAATTGGATAAGAGACTTAAGCAATTACACTCCAGACATAAATATTGGTTAGAAAATGTAGCAACGTAATTGAAGTACTAAAGGATACCTGCTATAGCAACTGATAATATCAGGAATCAACCGAGCCATGGCCGCCTTATTACAGGGAATAGCGATGTGTCGAACACTATTACTGGCCTTCATTTTATCATTACCAACAAGATCAATAGTCTTCTGGTCTCTTTTAAGAAACCTGTTAGAAATCTAGTAGGGGCAAGAAAAGTCTTAGCCACAAATAAAGAGAAAAGGAACATAGCAGCAAATTATAAAGCTTAACTCATTAAAAATAGCCACAAATATTTGAAAGGGACGCACATTTTTCACCCATGATGGCAAAGTAGCACTGAAGAGAAGAGTCTGGACTTTAGTAGGATCCTCCACTTTCCCTGAAGTTATAGAAAGAAGATATAAGATACAGGAGTAAGCTGTTTCATATTAGAAGGAAAAAATGAAAGCCACTTAACATACCTAATATAAGTTCAACATCCTCAACAAATCCCATCCTCAACATTTCATCAGCTTCATCAAGAACACGGAATTGTAGATGGCTGAGATCAATGTTTTGTCTCTCAATATGATCCTACAATGAAAGTCAATTACAAAGTCAAACAAACAAAAATGATGATCTGAATCCATGGGCAACCAATTTTTAAAATTTCTGTTTAGAAGAGAGAGGGAGAGAGATATACCTTAATACGACCAGGGGTTCCAACTACAATGTCAACACCTCTCCTTAATTTATTCTCCTGAGCTGTATAGCTATCACCTCCATAGATACAACATGAACTTAACCCAAGTGATCCTCCATATGCATCAAAGTCAGCAGCCACCTATCAAAGAAAACCATACCATAAGTAAAACCTAGAGAACCAAAAACGAATGTGCACCAAATCTCTTAACAACATGCTCAAAATCATTACCTGCTTGGCCAATTCTCTGGTCGGTAAAAGGACCAAAACACTTGGTGCCCTGGCATATCCCATCTTCCTTTTGTTTTTGGCAGGTCCATTAACCAGCGATTCCAATATAGGCAACACAAAAGCCAATGTTTTACCCTGCACCACACCACATTATGATCAGCAAAGTCCCCTAACTCTCCAAAGTCCAAACAAGCAAGATATTCACAATACCGAGTCTCTAAGTCTCACAAATTATTAACTAAGTAGCAAATTAGGCACCCCTAATAACAAGCCTTCCACATAAATATCCAAAAGCCTCGAACTTGACCAATTCAATACAGAGATTAACACATCATATGCAAAACCCAAATTTCAAAATCAAACAAAAAACCAATACCTGACCAGTACGAGCACGTCCAACTAAATCAGCACCATCGAGAACCATATCAAAAGTTGTAGCTTGAATCGGGAAAAGAGCTTCAATACCCTTCGCCTTAAGCTTCTCCCTCAACGGAGCAGAAATCCGAAAGTTGGAAACAGCATTAGGGTTATCAACTTCAACATCTTCAACACCCAACTTAACCTTCTTGCTGCTCTTCTTCTTCTCCGAGCTCGAATCGCTCTTCACTTCATCCTCCTCCTCGGAAGCCTTACGCTTCTTATCCTTCTTCTTACTCTTCTTCTTCTCCGACTCTTCTTCATCAGAATCAGATAGTTTCAGCTTCGGCTCCTTCTTCCCCTTCTTAGAATCAAGCTCTGGGGTATCCAAAGCTATCTTCTTCTTCATCTTCTTCTCCTCTTTCTTATCAGATAACATTAGTGAAGGCATTTAGAAGGAAGATAATGGAGAATCGAATCTCTTCTGCTTTTTGAGAGATTGAGGCTATTGAAAGTGCGAAAGCAGGGAGAGACGACAAAGAGGACGACAATTGCTAGGGTTTACCACTCTTTATATAGTTTTGAGATTTTAGAGGTTCCTTTTATCAAAACCCTAATTTACTCTAACTGTGCAATCTAGTCCGTTAATTAGTTTGTGTTGCTTGCCGTTTTTATATATTGATAGAAGAATGCGTGTCGTTTTTGTCATGTGAATAGGTCAAAGACTCAAAAATATCTTTCTTTTTATTTTATTTTTTTTGTGGGCAAAAAATATCTTGCTTTCTTTTTTTTTAATCAAAGGACTTCAAAATATCTAGTTTTTAACATTGTTCGACAGTTATGGTAATTTAACAAATGAATATAAAAATTATGTAATTTCGATTTCTTACTCATTTCTAACACACATATATAGTTGATGAACTGTCACAAATACACACTGCTCAAAAGATTTACACACTATGTAATTAGGAGTAAGCAACTTCATTATAGATTTATGGTTAATACAGATATGAGACCCATTTCCGGTACACATTTATTCTTTACAAGTCCTAATATGGTCATACAAAACCCGACAGTAAAAACCTGGAACCATAACAGCTTACAAGAGCAATGTTGTACCGGCTACAACAAACCCTAGGAGTATGATCACGATCCTTCTGAGACCAATGGCTAGGACATTAGAATCTGAGGCTCTGTTGCAGTAATTGAAACCATACCATACACTCTCAGGGACGTGTGTGTTATATGAGAAGGTGACCGCTTTAGAGCCATGGCTAAATATCTTTACACTGTCTGGGATCCAACCATCTGGACCAGACCTGTAGAGATACACATAGCATATCTGGTATGTGCATGGTCCGTTTATCTGAAATGTATCTGATGAACATTGCTCAAACGTTTTTGTAGATGGATCGTCAAGCCTTGGTGCGTATATCTGATTCAAAAAAACAAATCTTGAGCCGTGACTTTTGTCGCGCCAAAGCTAAAAACTGAACATCCTTGCGGTTTATTAGTGACAGATACATGAACAAATTAGACACTAGTTACAATCAAAACCAATCCACGGAAACTTTCATCTATTCCAAATGTTCCAATAGTAGAACTTGATACTCCAACTCTAAGGTTGATTTGGCGTCGATATTTTAGTAATCGGGTGTGTAAAACATGAAGATGTACTTCAGATTTTGGTAGCTAATTTCTTCCATAAGAGTGACAATGTTATGCATATTCAGTAGCTAAATAGCCATCAAGAACAGACTAGAAATCTAATGAAACCAAAGATGAGCTCAAAATATGAGAAAATACACTGTAACTAAGCTCAATTACGCAGAATCAGATATAAGCATCAACCAACTTTGTTTTTTGGAATGAAACATTCAATTGGAACCCTAAGCCTAATTGATAAACCAAAGTCTTACCAAATCAAAATCAAATGTTCTGAAGAAATCAAAATCTCACTCAGCGTAAAAATCTGACCTGGTTTCCATAGCCATCGCCGAAAGCGACGCTGATCTGATCGCGTGTGTACCTAGTCGACGAACAGCTCGTCGAGATGATCACTGTGTAAGAACAAGTATTCCCCAATCTCTGCATCATAGATGAAATTTCACACGCATACAAGGAAACTCATAAGTTTCTCGGGAAAATCCTACACAAGAAGACGATGAAGGAAAGTTCACACGGAGAAAGCGAGCGAACCTGGATGAGGCTGACGTTGAATGATTCAGCGACGTGAGGCTCCAAGACTTTTGATTCGGAGACAGAGATGAATATAAAGAAGGCGAAGGAGATGAGAGTGAAGAGTCGTACGGACACCATTTTCGTGCTTCGAGAAATCGCAGGCAGAGATTACAAAAACGAAGAGAAATCGAAACAGTAATTGAGAAGATAAAGTAGCGAACCAGTTCGAGCTAAACCGGATTGGACCGGGTCAAATTCAATGTTGGTATTAAAACCGAATTAAATGGCAACGCTTCCAAATTACAGGCCATACATCTCATGTCAGTGTCATTAGGTAGAGGGCAAAATATAATTAATGTTTTCTCTTTTCTTTTTTTTGTAGAAAAATGTAATTAAATGTTTTGTATAGAGAGTAGGGTCTTTCGTAAAACTAAAAAAAAAAACTAACTCTCTTAATGAAAAGAAATTTTTTTAAAAATAGGCCATTTTTCTTCACTCAAATTTTTTAAAATGGCATTTGACCTATGACAAATTGTTGCCATGAAGTAGAGACGGACAGTATAGAAATTAATTTGAGAAATTAGACATATATGTGTAGGTTTTATTACTTTATATATGTGCTTCTCTAGATGATTCTTAATCAAGTAACCAGCTTAAGCTTTGATAATAGTTGATATACTGGAATTTCTATAAACTCAAATCAAGAATTTACAAATTTTGGTATTATGAATTCTGATATGGATTTACGGATTTTTTAGAAATACTAGTATTTTCATGGTGTGTAGTATGTCACCAAACAGATTTCATAAGGAATACTAGTACGTTAAAAACTCGAACTCATACATTAATTAGTTTCCACAATATCCAACTACAAAGACAAACAAAGGATTACACCATGACCATACTCATTACTTTAGCCATTAGTTATTAAGCAAAATCTTAACTAAAATAACTCAAACAAACATAGCCGCAAACGCAAACACAACCGCAGCAGCAAATGCAACAACCAAACTCTGACCACTTCCACGTCCAGAGGCAGCAGACGGCGGTGATGGTGGTGGCGGCGGGATTGAAGGTGGTTCAGGAGGAAAATAAGGCGGTGAAGGCGGTGGGACAGATGGAGAAAACGGAGGGAAATCCGGGGAAGGCGGTGGCAAACCGGTGTTGTTGCAACTGTTGTTGCCGTACCAAATGTTCTCAGGGACGTTTTTGTTGAAATCAAATTTTACGGATTTAGAACCTTCCTTGTAGATCTCGACGTTCTCCGGGATCCAGCCGTCGGTACCGGAACGGTAGATGTAGACGGAGCAGATAATGTTAAGACATTTACCTTTGACTTGGAATGTGTCAGATGAACATTTCTCAAAACCTCCTCCTCCACTTAGCGGTTCGTCTAGTCTCGGTGCGACCACCTAATCAAATAAAACCAAAACTCAATGATATATACTCCGAAGTTACAACAGTCTAATGGATTTTTTATTTTATTTTTGGACTAATGGATTTAAAATCCTTTTATTGTAAGTTATTAATAAGATACACATGTGTAAGAGCATTAATTGTTACTAAAATCCAAACATGCAGCTACAAGAAATGTGCTATTTGGTTATTTCGCTATTTAATCAAATTAAAACTAAAACTATTTTAATCAGATTTAAGTTTCATTTAGGTTCTACTGGCTTTGGTTTGTCCGGATTTTACAAACTTCTTACGTGCATCCATGAAAAAGATGAAATATACATAACTTACAAGGGTGAAACTAACACTAACACAAACACAACAACTATCTGAACCCACAAAGAGAACCAAAAAAACTAAGAGTACGTTGTCGTAATTAAACCTTGTTACCGTTGGCGTCACCCAAAGCAATAGTGATCTGGTCTCTAGACCAATCAGGAGAGAAACAGCTTGTGGTAACAATTAAAGTGTAAGGGCAGCTTTCTTCTTCATGAAGATCAAGAGAAGAGATTAGTGGCTCAGAGGTTAGAGAAAGAATGGGATCAGTTAAGGATAGAACAAGGAGGATGAGGATGATAGATGAGAGAGAGAAGGACTCCATTGTTGTCTTCTTGGAAGAGATATAGGATATGAGAGTTAAATAGAGAACTTGAGAAGTTGTTATATAAAGTCACTTGTGTTGCCTCCTTACTTACTCAGTTACACTTGGCACAACACAATCCACAAACAAAGCAGACTACGAAAAATATCTTCTTTTTTTTTTTCATCACTACGAAAAATATCTTTCCTGAAGAAAAGTGACTGTTGAGTTGGTGTACTTTTTTTTCAGTACTATTACAGTACTTTGAATATTAGTATTAGTTTCGAAGATTTTACACCAACTCTCCAATTGCTTAAGGCCAAGTTATTTGGGTGAACTTATCTATATGTAACCAATTTTGTTGTAGACTTGTTCTTTACTTTTGGTATCCAATATCTTCCTTTTTTTTTTTGTTATAATGATGTTACATTGGCAAAAAGACATATAACAGACACAATCAACAAAACCATAAAATAACTGATCCAGCTTCTTTTCTCGTTACAGATATTGGATTTCTTGGTAATTAACATATTTCTACTTTCTCAAAGAAAACAAAACCATATTTATCAATTTAATTTATCTAGAGTCATCAACGTGTCACGAGTATTACACGATGATCAAACCTAACCCCGAAATCGAATTCTACTTCTCCTACCTACCACCTTTTTATATATCATCGTACAACTTATTAAATAAAATAACCCTTCTACGTGCCTCTGGTTCATTTTTTAACTTCCCACCTAATTAAGTAGCTCCAAGATTACATTATATATAAAATACTCAAAACTATTTAAAGTTTTAAACTATCAACATCGAGCCTGTAAATTAAATAAGATCAAAAAGAAAACTATACATTGTCTCCAAAAGAGAATATATAAATGAGAACACATAGAACAACTTCCTTGGCTACTAACAAAAATTCAACTAACAAAACTTATTCATCTTTCAAACAAAAATCTGAAATTTACAGTGTAATTATAACGTTACTGGAGCTAAAAACTTTCAAAATCCTTATTAATAAATAAATAGTTTATCGAATCCATCATCTTCCTTTTCCTCATCTCCATTTGTACCAATTCTCTTGCTCCTTGAATCTCCTAAAAACTCCATCTATCGCCACATCAAAGGCGTCTTTGAAAGTCTCTAACCCATTCGGAGACTTTGCGTAAACAAAATTCGGTATCAAATCAATCACTCTTTCTCTCATCTTCCTTACATCTTCTTTGCTATACCGTCCCAACACTTCCTTTATAGACGTCGTGCCGTTTTTAATCCCATTCCGGTCTATAAAAACCGAGTAACTATCTGGTTTATCCGGTAAAAACCACTGATACTGCATGTAAGCGCTTCGTCTCCAAAAGAAAACCGGAATCGAACCGGCCAACATACAATCAAAAATCGACCGGCGAGTGAAGCTATCTCCTCGAGGCTGGAGACAAAAATCAGACCCGAGAAACGTCTCTAAAATCGCCGACGAACCATTCGAGCATTTCCCGACGGTACAATCCACCGTCCGACACTTCCCACGTGACTCCTCACAATGACGGAGAAGCAATCCTCTAAAATCATTCACAATTCCAGCGCGTGGAGCTCCGGCGAAACAGAACAAAGTCTCACGACGGCGATTCCGTACGAAATCTTGCCAATTCACGACGTCGGAGTCCGTTCTAGGGTGGAATCCGGTAGGGTACGGTACACCGACGTCAAAATGGTCCCAAGAGTTACGCTCAATAAGGAGGCGCGTGATGTTACGCATCCCGGGGATATAAATACAGTTAGATCCCCAATCTTCGTCTTTAGACCTGCGAAAATCCCATGTGATGCGTCCCATGGTAATGAAATGATCCCAACCGTTGGATCTATTCCAATAAGGTTGATCTTTGACCCACTGTGTCATCATTTTACAATGACGGTCACGATCAGCCGCTGCGTAATTGGACCATAAATATTGACCAACCGCGAGTCCAGCGTAGAACGGGATATAAAAAGCCGTAGCTGATTGCGGATCCAAAGTCCGACACCGGTGGTTTAATATCCGGTTATGGAAAATGATTTCGGTTACGAATTGATCAGTCCAAAACCATGATTGAACCAAATCTTTAGGGATCACGTTGCTCAACGACGTCGCTTCTTTACCAAATCCGTCGTTCGAAAGGGCGTCGCAGCGAGAGCTCCATGGATTGAGATTATCACACTGTTGTAGAATCACTTCGTTGAAGATCTTTGGCATGTCGTACACGAAGACTCGACCCGAATCGCATCGTTCGTCAGAGGAGGAGGAGAGAGGGGGATTGGAGGAGGCGGCGGAGATGACGGTGACGGTGGTGGCGACGGCGACGGGAGAAGGGAAGTTTTCAGGGATGTGACGGTGAGGGAAAGGGATGGATCGGAGAGTGAGGAAGAGGATGAGTTGGAGAGAGAGGAGAGAAATGATCAGCCATGTGCAGTGGCTACGAGAGGCGGTGATGTAGGACGAGCGGTTAACGGCCGAGTTTAGCGAGTTGAAGGAGCTTTTCCGATCAATGGCGGTGGAGGTGTCAGGGGTTCTGGATTTTTTGAGGAGATGTTCAGGACTAGAAGGATTTGAGACAGGAAGCATAGTTTATAATTAGCTGAAGATGATTTTAGAATCCGTCGCCGGGAATTGTGGGTCCGTTACGACGACGGAGCTAAAATCTCCGGGGAAAAAGAAAATGAGCGTTTGGGTAGTTGTGTTCTTGTGTGGTTCTCGTTGAAGGCGTAAAGCTAACTCTGTGTGAGAGAACTTTTAGAGTGCTCGAGAAACGGGGAGATTCTGTTTCTTTTACTTTTTTTTTTGCAATATAAATGGAAACTATATTTAATTGCTTTCTTTCCCACCAAACTATATAAAAGTTCACGGTTTTGTCCCCTTAACTATTTCAGATTTCAGAGAGCTACAAGCAACAACCTATAATTTTTAATTATAGTTTATCAAATATGAGTGATGTACTGTATAAAATCAAAATTATTGACAAAACACAGAAAAATATTCAACGACAAATTTTGTGGACTAAATTTCATTAATATATTGGGTGTCAAATAGATCCTTGTAAAACTTTGGGAACGTTACATAAAGTTTAATAAGATAGGGGTCCTGGTTTTCATATTGTTCTCAAGGCGTTGGAGACATTACGGAGTGGAAAGAAACTGACACGTGCCTACGGCATTGACCGTCTGTGCCGGCAACCGACAAGGAAAGACCATAGCAGCCGGTGAAGAGTGAACACTTGGAACTTAGTGTAATTGACAACGTGTCTTTATAAAAGCAGAAACTATTATTCTAGATTTTTTTTTTTTCTACCAGAGTTTGTGTCAGAAACTAACTATTATTTGCCTCTCAACCAAGATTTCCATCCAATATCTGGGAAAAAAGAAATATCACATTAGAATCTTTAATTGAAAAAAATTAGAAACAATCACCGGATTAAAGTATGGTAACTGATCGTAGAAATTAGGAAAGTTTTACAAAAAATATAAGCGTTACAAACTTACGAAATAATTTAGTCAACAAAACCAACCAAGGAAATGGAAAGAATAAGATCGTGCATATGGGACAAGTGGCAAAATCAAGGGTCAGGAATTTATAACGGACTAGAAAAGCGGGGAATTGCACCGAAACGGTGACGTTTACGTGTAGTTGACAGATTAGAGTGAACTGTGTTCGATGTTGAAAGAACTTAAGTTAGCGCCATGTGAGCTTTGTGGCCATGCGTCTTTAATCCACGAGTCATGCCGCATGACGTGTCACATGCTCCAAGGTTTTGCCGACAAAATTTGTTTTATTTGGTGACCTATGTCTAAACCGGAGAAACCGGATATATGGAGACTAATTTTGGTTCGATCGGTTTGTGTTCAATCTGATTTTGACAATAAACCCAACTACCCGAGCACAGAGTGAACTCTGACTTGATTCGGTTCGGTACTGGAGTCTGGACCATCTCTATTGGCAAGCATATTAACTGTTGTTTATGACATTGAATTTATTCGAAGAATTCGTTGGAGTAATTTAGTAGTAATAACTTACAACAAGCGTTAATTTTATGGGTCAAAGTCTAGGAGTAGTTTATTATTATAGATTTGTCGGTCAAGGTTTCACGAAAGCGAAGACTATTAAAGTTAATAATAGAGCTTAGAAGAATAGATATTGGATATGTTATACCACTGGTATGTGATAAATTAACATAAATAGAGAACTAAAATAATAATGTAGCGTTATACAATGTACACTAGGTCATTCACTATCCTTTGTTTTTTTTTGTTAATGGTTAAACACTATCCTTTGTTTATACTTTATACTTACATAGGAAAGAGCATATCGCCTAAACTTTTTTGGTTACTGATTAATTAATTCAATTGCAAATGACACATACCGTACAGTTTGACATTTAGTTCCAAAATGAGTTTGGATCGCAAATCTAAAACAGTAATTTGATAATTGAGCAAATGGATATATATTTCTTTTGAAGGAACTTGTTTGTCGATACCTCTTTTATATAACGTACACTAAGATATGATAATAAATCAATAACGTTCTTTTGTCTTGTAAAAAAAAACGAAATTAATCCCTAAACAAATTTCAAAGTAGTATTGTTCCAACTCAAAAGCAAAGTTACAATTACCCCAAACCAGACGACCTTTGAGTCAGCGTTTTAAAAAATGAAAATATAGTGGTTATTCGTTTACACATAATACATGTTTCGCATGATTCGGGTTCGATTCGACGCATTTGACTTTGAGCATTGTGCAGTTTTCGTTAAATCGGAACGTCATGATTCATGAATTTAGCCGTTTAATTATATCCACGTGTTAGTGAAACATCTAGTGTACGGAAAACTAATTATGTAGTGCAATATTAATAAGTCAGAATAGTTAATTGTACGGAGATATTTACTTCAATGGACAGCAGTATTTTGTACACCAATCAAAAAAATACACAGCAATAAAAATTGCTACGTATATATAAATATATGTATTACAAAACGCAGTATTTAGAGTATATTATCAAGTAGTATCATGTAAAAAATAGTGCGTAAATTTTTTTTAACAGTGTGACATGTATAGTTTGCTTAAGTGCTTATGATAAATTGATAATACAAAAAAAAAAAAAAAAAAATTGATAATACAGACCGAACAAAATAATATGCACATTGTAGTGAAGTCGCATGGAAACACAATTTATGATAAGTTGACAAAAAACAACAGATTGAGATAATAAACCATGAAAGTGTCGGCGTATGTAAATTAAATGCGGTGATTAATGTGATAATTAGAGCGTGGGTGCAAAACGCGGCGGTCTTACCGGGACGAATCTAATTCAATGTCCATGGGACCATGGCTTGTTAAATTAAACCTAAGACATACGCAATCTCTAATTCGCTAGTATTAGTATAGTTAATTCTTTAATATTTTTGGACTAATAATGTAATCATATGATTATTAAGTCGCAAAAGGAGTGCTTACCAACCAAAAAGTGGATTAATTAACTTGGTGGGAAAAGTTACAAAACCTTTAATGATTACTCTTGTACCAAGGACACTGGCGAAGCACTAAGAGCAGAGACGATAGTATGATTATTGGTAACATCTTAAACACGGAATATGTATATCAAAAGAATGAATGTATGCATTTGCATGTCTCCGAAGATGTGGATTTGTTAGATAATTTCATACCTCAGTGACTCAGTCCAGTGTTAATAGTCATGGAGCCCAAATTGCTCTAAACATATTATATTCCGAAAAGACTTTTATGGAGACGATATAAAGAGTCCAATGGCCCATCAGATACAATGTTCACAATTTAAGGGGTTTGTTATTTATAACTATTGGGCCTGACTGCTGTCAAAAAAAAAAAAAACTATTGGGCCTGACTTATCTGGTTAATGGTATGAAGGAACAAATCACAATTTGCAAGGTTTGGAAACTTTTAACACGTACTAGTTGGTAAGAAATACTGAAATAGGCAACAAAAAGAAAAAAAAAAAAATCAATTTGAAATCAGACAAAACAATATGTCAAAAACCAACTTCCTGTCATTAAGGAAACAATGGTCAGTATATTCAAAATGATTACAAAAATTCAAAACAAAAATAAAAAACGAGTTCAATTATTTTTTTATATAAAAATAGTAATGTCAACAGAAGACTAGATTGGGAAACCAGAAGCGAACAGAGCTTTTTTCAAAAACGAGTTTGAACGGCTGGGATCGGATGGTACAATACCCACAGTAAGTTACACTAGGGATGCAAGCCAAAGGCCCAAATCAGTTACTACTTACTGCCACAACAAATCGTCTCAGCCTTTTGTCTCAGCTTTTTACTAATGAAGCATACAATGTCTTAGCCTGTCACATCTTGCCACGTGTCCACTATTCTCTTCTCTTATTGGCTCTGTCATTCGTAGGCTTCTGTTAATAGATCTCTCTATAACTCTAACAGTCTTTTCTTTCTATATATTTCGTTATGGTAATATTATTTCGTTTCAAATTGAAAAAAAATAGGAGGAAAACCCTAGTTTTAAGTTTTTAATAAGTGGTACGTGAACCAATTTACCTATTTTGTAAAAGTAGAAAACAAATGCCTAAAATGTTTATAACATCAACAAGGTATGCCCACGATATAGAGGTATGTCGCATTTATATACATAGTGGAAACCTACGAGCTTTATCAAAGTATAAACTCGTTTTTGTTTTAAAACTCACGGAAAAGATAAAAATATGAATCGTAAAATTAGGTCAATAAATTACTTAAGTCAAATAATCAAATGACAGAAAAACCGTAATATAATTGAATAAAAAGGTTAGTATGTGAATATTGCACAGCCGAAAAAATTTTAAAATATGAAAATTTATAACAAAGATTTAAATGTTCAGTAAAAAGTGTGGTCATAATTCTCACATAGGTCGTATAGCTGAACCCATGCATCTTTACAGTCTATAGAAAGAACTAGAGACGCATATAGCTGAACCTATACTAAATTCATTTATTAATTTTTTGGTTCTCGTGGATACAAAATTCCTCCAACATTTATTCGAACGAATAAAACTAGTATGATGATGATTAGTTATTTACTTCGTGATGGTAAACATATTAACATTGTGTAAACTTCAAAATAGATTGAAAATTTGAAATATGATGTACTAATTAAGACTTGCATTTTTTTCCCCCTTGGGTTTCTAAGTATTCATAATTCGTTTTGAAGTACTTTCAATTTCTAGAATAGTAGTAAGTTAGAAAATAATAAACAACAAATAATCTGCAGCTAAAACGAAAAACACAGGATAGTCAAGCGAGATTACATTAATCAACATCAAACCATCTTCATTGTAACAACTTAATTTTTGTATATTTTTTTAAAAAAAAAATATAGAAGAAAACAAAAGTTTGACCGATAGGGCGGTTAGACCGTATAGTACAACTGTACAACAAAAGGACTCTGAGACCTAAAGATCCAAAAACTATGCATAAAAAGTTACGGTCGGACCAATCCTTATGCTAAACTATTTACCAATACATTTCCATATAACACAATATTAATCATAGAATTATTTTACTTTTGAATTCCCTATAAAGACATCTCCAGGGAAGTTAGATACAACATGATAGAATATTTGCTTCATCGAACGATTTTAGTTACTTATCTATTGAGCCTCGAAGCTTTTGTCACATGTAATATACAATATACTCTATGTTTTTTCATCTTGGTATATAGTATAAATATATCAACATGACCCTCATTTGTATTAATCGCAAGGTACAATTCCACCAATTTTTTTCGTCCCAATCGTACAACTTTAATTGTTAAATCAATCCATAAAAAACCAACATGTGACATGGTCTCAACATACAACAAAATTTAATCCTAATTCGCTAAAAAAAAACGAACGGT